ATATATTCTATGTCAAAATCAAAAATACTTAAAATGGATTGCCATCTGGCAAAAATTTGTTTACTAGCAATATTTTGGACATCTTTTTGTAAAACATCTTTTGCAGATTTGCAATCAACTCTGATTAGGAATTTCTGATTTAATATATCATCCTGGAATTTTGAGACACACAGGATAATAGATAAGAGTTCTTTTTTAATGGTAGAATAATTTATTTGAGTTTTGTTCCAAATACCAGAATGGAAACGAACAATTTGTTCAGGAGAATTAGGAGATTCTTTCTGAAGCAAAATACCACCATAACCAATGTTAGAGGCATCAGTTTGGATGATTTTGAAAGAATTGATGGAGGGAATTCCAAGGCAAGGCAAGGTTTTGATGTATTTTTTGACTTGCTGGACAATAGAAGTATGTTCAGGTGTCCAAGGAGTAGGATTGTCTTTGAGCCGAGAATAGAGAGGTTTGACAGTTTGCCTAAGATTCTGATAGAAGTCAGAAACATAGTTAAGGGAACCTAAGAACCTCTGCAATTGGGTTTTGTCAAGGATTTCATCTGGAAATTTTTCAGCAAATAGAATGGCTCTACTAATGGGAACTATGGTAGACTGCTGAATATTGTATCCTAAAAATCTAATATTGGTTTGGAATAACTTAATTTTGCTAGCTGAGATGACTAAACCATTATGTTTGGCAGTCCCTATAAAAGCATGAAGGTGTTTCCAATGTTCATCTATTGTTTTACTAAAGATAAGAATATCATCAATGTAGACAATAGAGCAATGGGATAAATTAGATAATATATCATTCATAATATTTTGAAATTCGCTTGGTGCATTTTTAAGACCAAAAGGAACAACATTCCACTCATAGTGCCCAAATGGTGTGGTAAAGGCAGTTTTATATCTGTCTTTCTCAGCAATTTGTATTTGCCAGAAACCAGATTTCAAGTCGAATTTTGAAAATATCATGGCATTTTTTAATCTTTTGATTAGGTCTTGCTTGTTGGGGATGGGATATCGGATCCATTCCAAAACAGCATTCAAAGGTTTGTAATTGATTACAAGCCTAGGAGTTCCTCTTTCTAATTCTGCATTTTTTACAACATAGAAAGCAGGACAAGACCAAGGAGATTTAGATTTCCTAATGATATTATTTTTAAGAAGTTCAGAAATTTCTTTTTACAAATTTCCATGACTTCATGGTTCATTTGGATTGGCCTAGATTTAGTAGGGATCTGTTTTTCATTAAATGTTTTAATATAAGGAAGTTCGACTGTATGTTTTTTCCTATGCCAGAAGGCTGTAGGAAGCATAGAGCAAACTTCTTGTTCAAGTCTTTCTTTGAACTGATTAATCTTCTCATTTAAGATTGGACATTTTAGTTGTTCTAAAAGTCTTTTATGATCAATTTCTTGTTTAAGAAAATTTATCTGGCTAATTTTTCTAAGGTACTTAGAAACAGATTCATCTTTAAGTTGCCTGAGTTCTTTTACTTCAGGTTTTAGTAGGAAAATAAAATTAACCTGTTGATTAAGAGGTCGGGTGATTAATCCTTCATTAGTTATCTGAAACGGGGTCAGAAGATAAATAAAGGGTAATCCTAAAATCACTTCATCAGTCATATCTTTTACTAAGACAAATGAGGTTTTAAAACAAACATTGTCATGGCAGATATGAGCTTTAGGTAATTTATATTTGACATTCATGTTTGTACCATTAGCTGATTTTAATTTCTGAATGGTTTTTTCATAGTACTTGGTTGGGATAAGTCCTTCTTGCATGCAGTTTACATCTGCACCTGTATCAATAAGGGCTACTGTATTAATAATAAAATCATTTGCTATAATGATTTTGATTTGGAAATACCATTTTTGTAATTTAATTTCTTTGATAGAGTTAATTTGATTTTCTGTTTGTAGACACCCATCGTGAGATGGCAGCTTCGTTAAACCAGAGTTTTCCACATTGAAGGTGGAGGCTACGGGTATCCGCTGGGAAAGTGTCTTAGTTGAATTATCAGTTTTATCACTGTCAGATTGGTAATTATCTTGAGGTTCTTGCTCAAGAGTGTCGGATAAAAGACTTAATTTTTCTGCCAAGAGTTTGTCTTGTGCCTTTAAATCTTTTATTTCAACTTTTAATTTATTAATTTCACTATAAAGATCTTGTAAGGTTAATTCTTTTTTCTTTTCCTTACTAAATCTTTCCATAGTTTTGTTAATACTAATTAAAGGTTTTTCTATTATAAGATGTTTGTTTTTTTCTGTTTTGACAAACAGATCCTTAAGATTTTTTATATATTTAGATTTTAATTGAGGTTCTTCAATTTTACTGATTAAGTCAATTAAAATTTGTTCTTCAGTTTGTTCTGTGATTACTCTCACTTTTTTACAACAATTGTCATTACATCCTAATTTAATATCAGGTTCGCTTGTCGTAGATGGTGTAGAAGAATCAGGGGAATTAGCAGAATTGTCTGAGTTATCAGAATTGTCTGAGTCTGAGTCTGAATCTCCCGGATTATGAAGTCTGAAGATTTTTAGGATTTCTTCAGTCTCTTCATTGGTTAGATTAAGTTTTTTTACCTCTTTTTTAATTGGGCAATCGGGACTTTTGTGACCCTTTTTCCCACAGTTATAACATGTTATAGTGTCTTTATTGGTATTTAACCATTTAGACATTTTCCCTGTTTTCTTAGGTTTTGGTTTAATAGTCTTTTTGGATTTTTTATAAAATTTAGGTTTAGTGAGTAAATCTTTATTATTCTGATAATAAGATTTATTTTTTGAATATGACTTATGTTTTTTATGGGATTTGTGCTTAAGTTTTTTAGAGGTTGATGGTGCTACTGGAGGGAGACCATATTGTTCACAAAAATTCCCCATTTCATATTTGGCTTTCTTTTTATCGTTTTGTAATTGTTTACTGATCTTAAGATCAATACACATCCTAAGTCCTTCCTTTTGGATAGTACTAACAAGTTGGCCATAAGTCAGTGAATCATATTCTATGATCCCAGTGTCTTTGCTAAGGGCTTCTCTGATTTTATGGGCAAATAGGTTAGGTAAACCATTAACAAATTTTTCTTTCCAGAATGATTTATTACAGTCTGGGCGAAGCATAACTCTATTGATAAAAACATCTTTATACCACCTAAAGTCACTGAGTGTTGGGCACCTGAGGTTACTAAGCTGGTCATGAATCCTAGCTTCAATATTACTTGGTGTGCCAACAAAATGTTTTACAATGGTGAATATTAAAGTGTTTAAACCATCTGGTTTTGATCTTCCAAGTCTCTCATCAAAAATTGGAATGCCATCATTATCAAGAACAACAGCATTTCTAATATCATCCCTAGAATCTGGGGTAAGGTAATTGTCCCACCAACTTCTCAGTACTCCAGTAAATCCGGAGGTAACTAGGTCTACAATTTGGGGTTCAGGATCATTAAGGTTATTTACATAACTATTAATGACCATAGACATATGATGAATTTTGTTGAGAATTTCTTGCTCACTTAATCCATCTATGTTCCATTCATAGAGCTTGTTTGATTGAACTGAAAATTGGTTAGAAATATTTTTCTCTTCAAATTGAATATCTGGGGGAGTGGGTTTGGAGTACCAATTTTTTGTAGAACTAGTAGGGAAAACCAGTTTATTGATTTTAGAAATAGGTTCACTTAAACTTATGTCAGTGAACTGTTTTTTCAAGATTTTAATATCTTCCTCAGATGAAGATATGGAAGTTTCAGTTTCAGTTTCAGAATTTTTGTTAATTACAGTTACTTGAGAAGTTTGTGATGTTTCAGCTTGAGCATCTAATTTCTTAATTAACTGATCAATCTTTGCAATCCTAAGCTGATCTGGAAGTCCTAGTTTGGTCCTATATATATATATATATATATTCTTACAAATTTGTAAATGTTTTTCATGCAGATTTTTTTAAAAAAAAAATTCTTGCAATTTTTTTTTAATTTTTTTCATTCAGTCTTTTTTTTAAATTTTTTTTTCATGTAGATAGTTTTAATTTTTTTAATGCAAATTTTTTTTAATTTTTTTCAACCAAAACATCCTTTAAACTTTTAAGTCATTAAATTCATTTTCTTATAAGTTGTTGGGTAAGAGATAAACTTTTTGGTTTCTTATTTTCTTATATTACCTAAGCTCTCTATGATATGTTTTTTTGTTGTTAGTTATAAATTACAGGGATTTTAAATTTATTTTATAGTTAAAAATAATTTTTCTATAATAGAATTTAATATTCTATTTAATAATAATATTAAATGTCAATTTGGTGTTGATTTGATGAAATTAAATACTAATTTAATGCTAAATTAAAGAAATAATACTAATTTGATGAAATAAAATATTAAATTAATACAACTAAATGCTAATTTGATAAAATTAAATATCAATTTGTGTTGATTTGATGAGATGAAATGTTAATTTAGTTTAAATTACATAAAGGACATTAATTTGATAAAATTAAATATTAAATTGATTAATCTAAAGATTAATATAATAGAACTAAAAGAGGTGCATTGAAATTTTAGATTCAAGAAGAGGTAATGTTAAAGATAGATCTATTTACAGGGGGTGTCGTAGAACTTATGTGTATTTATAGGGGGTGTCGTTGAAGTTATGTGTATTTACAAAGGGTGTGGATAAAATTTATCCCATAAAATATTCAAGTATATTTTTTTAAATTAACAATCGCCATTAACTCGTAATCTGACAAACACTGACAGGGGATGACAGTGAAGTTTAAGAATCGGGAGGGGTGTCACTCTATTTAGACCTAATTACAGGGTATGTGGATGAAATTTTTCCAATTTTATATTTTAGGTCTAAACAAATTCCAAAATGAGAAAAAAAAAACAAAAAATTTCAAATTAAAAACGAGAATGTGTTCAGATGAAAAAAAAATCAAAAAAAAAAAAAAAGGAAATTTCAAAAAGTACCAAAGAAGCATGCATGGTATAACTTGGATTGAGATCTTCTCTATTACTTTTTTACACAATTTCACTCAATAATAAATCATTCATTATGTATTCATATGAGACCCATTATTCATATGTAGGTCATCACTCATACACGGTAAGTGATTTACAATTGAGTGAAATTGTGTTAAAAAGTAATAAAAATGAATTAAATTCATATGACCTTTGATCTCTCGTTGAAGTAAGACTCTGCATTCCTTACACTGAAAATTGTTCTATTGTTACACCTTCAGATAAACAATGCTGGAATAAGTCTACTAAAGCGGGCCATAGACCATACTGCTGAGGATTTCTCAAATGTAATGGGTACTAATTTTGAGGCCCCATACCATCTCTCCCAACTAGCATACCCTATGCTCAAAGCATCTGGACTCGGAAATGTCATCTTTATTTCCGCTGTTGCTGGTGTCACGGGTCTACCTGCTATCTCAGTCTATGCAGCGTCTAAAGGTATGTTTCTCGGTTTCTGCAGTGAAAAAACTAATTGAATTAGGCCTCGTATAGATAGCAGTAATCCTAGTAATGGAATACTCGGATTTTGATTACCACAAGAATCAGAGATGTTTAGGAATACAATTGATTGTTGTCAACAAAACCGGACTGAAAAGTCATTACTCACAGAGATTTCAAACTTTTACCACTGCATTGTGTTCTCAGGTGCAATCAATCAACTTACAAAGAACTTGGCTTGTGAATGGGCAGAGGACAACATTCGCATCAACACTGTTGCACCGGGGGGTGTCCGAACCACTATTATCAAACCAGTACTATTTCTCACACGTTAAACCCTCTTGTCTAACAAATCCATACTAAATATGGCTTTTTTTTCCTTTTCTTTTTTTACTTCTTAACAAGTAAACGCATAATACTGATTGATTAGCTGATGAATTTTATCTTCTCCAGGAGAATGTCGAAGAATCCATAGTGAAGATGATTGCGCCGATGATGACTCGAGTTCCTCTTCGTCCCATTGCTGAACCTAATGAGATTTCAGGACTTGTGGCATTCCTTTGCCTTCCAACAGCTTCATACATTACTGGGCAGGTTATTGTTGTTGATGGTGGACTTACAGCACGTTGTTACTAGCAACTCATACACTCCCTCATTCTCCCACCTTCAAGGCAATTCCTTCAAGTTTGTCTGTAGCTCACTGTACTACAGGACAGCATTCACATGTTATTAAATAAGGCTCATGTAAGAATGCAAAAACTTAAAGAAGCTTTTACTGAATTATGGTGTTTCGAGTTATTTTGGTATGAATGGATTTATGCTTTCCGGTGGGTTATGGATAAACTAATGAAGAAGAAAAATAATAAAACTGATTCTTTGTAAAGCAAAAGCGCAACCAACAAAAAGACAGTCAAGTGCCCGAAACTCAAGCCATTAATTAAAGAAGGAACAGAGAAATACAATCTTACACGGTTTCGGAAATAGTTTCCGGTAGAAAAGATGTTTGGCCAACTATTTTTTATTTTTATTCTTTGAAAACAGAAAACAAAAAGTGAATAAATTTAGAGAATAAGTTAAAACTATTTTATGTGTTTTTTAAAACCACATTTCAAAAATTTAGAAAACACCACGTCTACCACCACTACCATCAACGTCTATTACTACCATATTTCTATTTTCATTATTTTTTAGGTTATTGTTCAAACAAGTTTTACTGTTTTTTATTCTGTAAAATTGTTTTTAGAATCATTTAACGAAACAAGTTCTGCAACACAAAAATTACCAAAATAATGTTTCTATGACACAAATTCTTGCTCAAATGATCCCATTTGTTCAACTAGGTCCAAGGAACACCTGATTTAAGTTTCAAAAAAACTGTCCACAACATTAGTACTAACTTAAAGAAAATAGTCATTCTACCACAACTTTCACTTCGACCCGGTCAATTGAACCTTGCTGAATTGGCTGTAAAAACATGATGAATCTGCAGCCCCTCATGTCCGGTGGTTTACATACGCAACCTTTACGCATACCCAATAAAAGGAATCCCATCAATCTGTAATTCAAAGAAAACCATCCCACTGTCCACCAAAATTTAGTTGGCTACACGAAAATATTTTCCGCTATCCTTTGAACTCAGGGGCCAGAAACACAATCTTCAATATGCTGAACACTAAAGCGGCTAAAGTGGGTTCTGATCTTCACTTGTTTCGGAATTTGCCACCTTTTATAGTGCATATCCTCCTGCCGACCATCCCAAGCAGAAGATGAAGGGGAGAACCAATATGTGAATCATGAGAGTTACTATAATGATCCAACTGAGGGTATCCCCAACCAATAGGGCAAAAAGATTAAAGATGTGCAAAACCAACTTGACGATATTGTTAACGCCATCAAAGCATAGGCGCCAGAGCAGTTTAGCACTATGAAATTTACCATGATGGTGAAGCTTCTTGGTGCTATCCCTATTGTGACTGACAGGGTGATGGAACCCAAAAGATAAGCACTCTCACCCGAAAATTTGATGAAGGGCGTTCTAATGGGTTGTAGTCTTTTCCCACCTAGATGAAGGCTATCATAGGTTGGTGTGAATAGGATGCCGGCAAAGCTACCACTATCCACCAAAATTCTCTGACCTTGGTAGTTGGCTACCATCATGATTAAGACCAGGGGGTCATCATGGGGGAATTGGATCCCCTCGAGGTCCTTGTTTGAGAACTGGATGACTTCTTCTTTCTAATGTCGGGGCGTCTTCATCAGTTGAGGACCACTTGGCTCTGCCTGTCTGGCCCTTCTGGCATGCGCCTTCTTGGCAGAGTTGGAGTCACCTCCTCCCTCCTAACCCTCTGGAGATCATTTGGATTTTTTCGAGGAGCTGCTGACGTTCTCTGTCATCACGTATTACCGTAATAGGCCACGTTGTATGAGCTCCTCGATCTGTCTTTTAAGATCAAAGTAGTCATCAGCATCATGACCATGGTTGCGGTGGAAGCGGCAGTATTTGTTTGGATTCTTACCGTTTGGGGTGTCATCATCTTCCCTGGCCAATGTATTATAGGATCGTCTTGTATTTGGAACATGATATACTCCACTGAAACATTGAGAGGCATAAAGGCTTGTTGCTCTCTCAAAGGTAGGGGACCAAGGCGGTCCTTGTCAAAGACTCTCTCTGTCCTATTCTTCTTGTTCTCTGCTTCTCTCCTGCTTTCGCGGGTATCTTTTCTCTTCTCGCTCCTGTGGGAGGATTAACCTCGTCTAGCTTTGGTGACATCCTCGGCATTCATGTACTTTTGTGCCCTTGACAACAGCGCAGACATGCTGGATGGTGGCTTCTTTAAGACAGAGAACATGAAACTGGAGGGGTGTAGACCCGTAATAAAGGCGGTCATGGTCACCTTGTCGACTCCTCGATCTACAGAGCCTCCTCACTAAAACAAGTGAGGTAACTCCTTAGATTTTTATCTCGATCCTGCTTAATGGTGAACATATGGGTAACTGGCTTCTGGTATCAACGCCCCCTAATGAAGTGGGAGACGAAAAACTTGCTTAACTCCGCAAAGGAGTGGATGGAAGAAGGCTTGAGCTTCGCAAACCACTGTCATGCAGATCCCTTAAGGGTGGAAGGGAAGGTTCTGTACATGATCTCATGAGGCACATTATGGAGTTGCATGAGAGATTTGTATATGTTGAGATGATCAAGGCGGTCCTTGGTGCTATCAAAGATCTCAATGGCAGGCATCTTGAACTTTGAGGGTAAAGAGTAGTTGACAACATCTGCCACAAACGGAGTGTTAGTACGCCTTACCAGACCAAGAAACCCCAAGAGGCCCTGTAATTGGAAGTGTTTCGACCCTAGGGATGATAGCACATTGGAAACGAGAAAGCCTTGGCCCATCCATGGGATGTCGAACACCTGAAGATATACTATTAGGGTATAAGCTGGTGGCTCTTATTTTATTTGTCATTTGTCATTTCACTTGATTTATTTTGTTATCTATTATTTTAACTATGAAATATAACTTTGCAAAGATTATTGTGTCCAAAATTGTCTTTCTTTAGTTCCATAAATCTTGTAAACAACTAGAACTTGACCTAACAAAAAAAAGGGAAACAAAAGGCAAAAGTCAGCATATTCTCGACATCAATCACTGCTCTCCGAGCCACTATCATCAAGGCTCCCTCGTCACCATCTGTCATTGGAGCCTCATATGAGATGAAGTCAGAGAAATTAATAACAAGGAAAGCTACTGAGGCCTTTCCCTAAACTCTTCATAACCATCAATAAAGGTGTCTGCAACAGCCCTCTCAACTACATCCCTCCTCACCTCCATTTCAATGGAATGAGCCTCTACCATAACAGCCCTCTCCCAAGCTATATGTTGCTCGGCCTTAGCTCATATAGCCCTTTTACAGGATGCTCGTAGCTCTGACTTTGTTCTCGCCCACATAGTCGCCTTATCAGCCTCTGCCACGACAACCCTCTCCTGAGTAATACGTAGCTCGACCTCAACTCCTGCGGCCCTCTCACAGGACCTTCACAGCTCTGACTCTACTCTCGCGCAGACAGTCTCCTTATCAACCTGTAACTTCACAACCCTTTTACGGGACGCCAAAAAGCTCGGCCTCAAGAGTTGCGATTCTCTCATAAGCTAGCCTCAACTACTCCTTAGCAGTCTCTCTAAGCCTGCCTCTCTTTTGCCAGATCCCTAGATGTCTCTCCAAGCTTGATCATCCTTGAAAAAAGGTAGAAAAAAACAGCAGCCACCTACAAGCATTCAAAAAGTAGAACATGAAGGAAAAGAGGTGGGGTACAAAATCAAAGTTGAGTAAAAAGGCAAACCATGGAAAACCCCTCCATCGCAGTATTGATAATGCCTTTTGGACCTCGAGAGTCAACCTCTCTAATATCCAGGGCAGTCACAAACTCCCAAAGATGCTCCTTATCCAGATTCACTTCCTGCAGTATGGACACTAAACCACTGCTAGAAGCTGGACAACAACGTGGAGCTCCAGTCCTGACGAAAGGGAACACAGGAGTCTTAACTCCTGAAGTAATGGTCGGACTCACCCTAACACTTGAAAGAGCCGTGTACTGAGAAAAAGTAGGGCACCCTCTAATCTAGCCTCTTGGGATATAGCATGGCTCTCTAAATGCCGAGACACACTGGGGACATTGGTCTTCACCCTCTAAGAGGGAGGAGAGGACGCTACCCTAAATGCATAGAGAGCCTTCACCATCGTTCTATCAATAGGGGTGCTTGTAATTAGAGACAAGGTCAATATAAAGAACCAGCATCGAGAAACATTAAGGAGAAAACATGATTAAAGAAAGCGGGTTTGCCTTCTGCCTAGCTGAAATCCATCATAGTCTCCCTTTCTGGCAAATACCAAAATGCCAACTTGTCGCCCATGGACACCTGACTACTGCCTGCCAAAGCCCAACTTCCCACCGCCATCGGTCTCCCTCTGGTCTCCTTGGTTTACCTCACGTTGAGGATTTCGTCAAAGCAAGGTGAGCTAAGTCCTCACGTAGTCAAGAATACAAAAAGGAGATACAAGAAAATTTTAATTTTCCACTAATGTGTGTTTAAAACTCAAATTCATAGAGAAAGAAGCATTTTTTGGGAAAATTAGGCAGTTTGATTGTCGTAGATCTTGAAAAAAATACCCAGATTCAAAAAAAATTACCTTAGCATGCCAAAACGTTGCTCACCACTAAGGATGGCGCCGCCTAGAAGATTGTAAGGTCTGGTGCTCCCGTCCTGCTGGGCTTCCCTGGCCGTAGAGCCATTCTCCCTCACAGCGCCCAAGCAGGCGTCGCCCAGGCTTGGCATGGCATCACCTATGTGGTTAGTTCTTGTGCCTTGCTTGGCGTCGCCCACACAGCCAAAGTCAGCACTGACTGTCTCCTATCCTCTGTTAACATCGCCTAGCAAGCCAAAAGAGCTGTCTGTACCTTTGCTTCCCACCATGCCATCGCCATTCAATCTCCTTCCACCAGAGCCAACACCTAGGAATTCTTTGTCTGTGGTGTCGCCTGGGTAGTTGGCCCCTCCACCTTTGGCACCACTTAGTTGTTTGTGAGTGGTCCCTTTTCCATCGATGACTACATCCAGCTATCCAGCACCAACGCCCAGATCGCCCATGCCTTGTGTTTCGTCGTCTGACCTACGCTCACCCTTCCCTTGTGCCTGGCTGGAGTCGCCTTCACCTCCCTTTCTAGCACCGCCCACTGGCACGCACCCGGCATCGCCTATGAAAAAAACGTCACCCATCTCTCTTCTGTCCAGCGGCCTATTGAGTTGAAGCATGGCATCCCCTCCGGAGCTGTCCATATGAAGCTAGTCCTTACCTCCGATCATGGGTGTCACCATGGATGGGTATGAGTCTCCGCTAGACCTTGTTAAAACATTAGTGGAGCCTGGTTTCGGCGGTGATCCACTCTCTCCAATCCCCATCTCCATCTCCATCTCCTTTGGGAAACCCTCTATGATTTAAGGAGTGAAAAAGAATGTGTAGTCCAACTTGAAATACAATGGGAAACTAAGGAACATGGGTGGTTCCGGGGTCTATTTATGTGACCTCGTAAAACCTTGTGAGAAATGCCCTAAATGGGGAAAAGGGGGTTTTTTGACATGGAATCCTCTCCAATCTGGTGACAACACAGTGAGTGTCCAGCAGTGGAATAGGAGAAACGAGGGGGCTCCCGTAGGAAACAAGGAACTCTTATTTATCCAGAGGCTAACTCATGCCCTCAACTCCCTTCCTCATAATTGGGGCTTGGGGCATATGGGGCAAATGATGAGGCCAAATCCAAGTAGGTCAGACCTAATCCATGGAGTAAGCCCAAATCAGGTCAAGCCCAACTTATGGATTCTGTCCAATCTAAAGTTCAAGGAGTTCAGGAAGATCAGCGTACGTGGGGAGTAAACACCGAGATAACTACCATTCGAAGATCAAAACTATCTTTAATTATACTTATCCTTAACTGTAGCTATCATACTCGAAGGACTAGTCACCTATTCCTCCACGCCACCGCGTCAACTAAGGCTTTGTGCCTATAAATTGTAAGTCCTCTATAAATGAGGGACACATCTCTACATCCGAGACACAACTATGTCTCTCATAGCTACCTCACCACACCTAGAGCTTACTTGTGCTCTCCCCTCAAGTACTTTATCAATAAAGTCCTTCAGCCACCATTCCCGCCTTTAAAGTGGAATAGGTCACCTTGACCGAACCACTTTATATCTGTGTGTTGCTTGTGTTGATCTCAACTTTATATTTACTACATTTATTACCCATATTAATTACTCAACTGTTGATTATGCATAAATCCACTTTTGTGCATCATCAGTTACGTTTTTTTTTTTTTTGCTACATGGTATTTTGTTTTGTGTCAACTACTTTTTCAAGCTTAATGGTTAGCCACCGTGACTTAAACTAAGTTAGAACATGTCCAAGGGTGGCTAACCCTTAAAAGATATATGAAGAGATTGAATTTGAGACCTCTGAATTACCAATTGTTGAGTTTTACGTTCACACCCCACCCCAGTCTGCACATCTATTTCCAACAAGAAAATTTTATGTACCATTCTATAACGCTGTTTTAATTTATTTTTTTGTTTGACTTTTTGGCTATTTCTAAGAACTTTTTCTAAGTGGTGCTCCTTTTTTCAATTAAAAATTTGTGTTTTTTTCTTGGTTCGGAATTGTCCCATTCTTGTAAGTCTAATGAAGTACGCATGTGCTTACATAAAAAAATATGCTATGTAGAAACTAAGATTTATACTTTTCTATGATAGTAACTAACGGTGTTCAATGTGATGCATGATATTTATAATCTCATGGTACATTTTTATTTTTCAATTGGGAAGCAATCACAGTGAAATCTATTGAAATTCATATCTTATCATACTTTTCTTGTTGGTTAAAAAGAAAAAAGATTAATAAATAAGGGAGAATTACACCTAGATTCCCTAAAATGTGTTACTTAATCATTCAGACCCCCTAATAGTTAAAATATTACACACAAACTTTCTGAAGTTTGTACGCATGTAACACTTAGACCCCTACCGTCATGGACGGAGGGAGATAGGGGCCAGGGTGGGCACGTGTCCCCCCTCAAATTAATTTTTTTTATTAGTTAGATATATGTATTATATATTTATACATATATATTATGTGTGCCCCTCATTTAAATTAGACCCACATTATTTACTCAAAATAATTAAACAATTAAGTCCATTTAAAACAAAAAAAATTGAACTCACCATTATTTATTCAAACTTATTAAAAAATAAAATATTTGACCTATCACAATCCACCCAAACCTATTAAAAAACAAAACTTTTATCCCAATATTAAAAATAAAATTTTTGGCTCAACATTAAAAACAAAACTTTTGGCCTACCATCATTAAAAAACAAAACTTTTGGCTCACTTGACTAAAACTTATCTTATCTTTTTTTTTTCTCTCTGTATCACTCACTTCCAGCTGTCCACTGCCCAACCACAAGAAAAAGAGAAGAAACAGAGAAAAATTTAACACACGAGAAGCTCAGTTCTTTGAGTTTTTTGGTGCTTCCTTGCACCAACCTATAAAATTATTTTATACATTATATTTACCCTCTAAATTTTTGAAAATTTTAATAATGGTTCTAGTCTTTTTTTGTTTTTTAATAAATTAGTGGACCACTAACCCTCTAAAATAAATATGTTAGTTTTGGATTGAGTTAATGTTTTATTTGTATATTGAAGAAAATACAATATTTCTCTTTATCTAACATAATGTTCGTTACTTTTTAAGAATAATTTTTCATTTTCATTTACCATTTTTTTAAGTAATAGTAGTCTATAACCTAATAAAATACAAAAATTAATTTACATTTAATTCACATAAAAAAAATTTTATATTTTATTGAAATATATAATTAGGTTAAAATGTACTAAAAAAATTATTTTGTCTTTTTGTTAAGATTTTGTTTCGGCTAAATAAAAATTGAATTTATTATTTCACAATAATTTAGTGTTGATTCTTACTTTTTTTTTTTATTCTTGAACTGAATTTTTTTGTATTAATTTCGGCTTAATATTTTTTTATATCAATTATATTTTGCCTCTATCATAGATATTTGATGGTGCAAACTAACGTGGGTGAACAGAGTGCGTGGGATTAAAGGTGAATATAGGCTATCAACTTCATAATAAAAGAGATGAAGTGTTTCTTAGAGGGTAGGAGAATTTGCACAATGGAAATATAGTGGTTCACCGGCTCTGGAGCTCGGCTAATCCACTCTCTAATGGAGGCTCTTTCTCCTTTTCTTCTCTATTGATTACTCGAATGTATTACAGTATCATGCATGATCTAATTAAGGTTTCTTTCTAGGGTTCTCTCTTTCGATGAGGCGTTACATAGTATTTATAAGGCTGCTCCCCATTCTGTGGGATTTCAGCCGAGATCTTTGCCAATTATTTATGGGATTCTCATTGATTTTAGGAGATAATCTTGGTTGGTTGAGAGTTTCATGCATTGGGCTCCATTTTGCAGTCATTTAGCTGTTTCCAGGTCGGTTCTGCTACGATCTCCCCAAGGGGTGCTCTATCTCTGGTTTTCTGAGTTCTCCGAATTAAAGTGTCCACCCTAAGTAAAATTCCTGGCTCCGCCCCTGCTTACCGTCAATATCCGTTATTATATTCATTAGTAAATTACACCTAGAACTCTTAAAGTTTGTAGACATATAATATTTAGACTCTTTAAGTTTAAAAAGTTATACTTAAACAAAAAATACTCCAATCAAAGATAAATTATCAAATATTTTAAATTTTATAACCAAAATTCATATTTTATTGTATCATTTATTGAAATAAAATTGAAAATAAAAATCTAATTTTTTCTTAAAATCATAATTTAGTATATGATTATCTATACTAATAAGATAGAGGAAAATTCAAAATTTTTCAATTAAAATCAACCCCTCAAAATAGAAAAGCAGAACAACGGCTAAGATTTAAATAAAATTTAAATAAATAGTTCAGATTTCATTTAAACTCATCTAAATATATCCAATGGCCCGGGCCCATAATATGTCCAGCCAAATTCATCCTCCGCCCACTTTAACAACTCACACACGCCACCCAGCTGAGCCATCCCAAGCAAAACCCAGCTGGCGCATCTCTCTATCGCTTTCTCTCTCTCTCAGAACTCCTCCTTTACCATGCCGAGTAATTCCAGTCCACAAGAGAAGCTGAGCCAAGCGTCCATCTCACTGAGAAATCAAAACCTAGCTGACCCAGGCGTCCATCTCTCTCAAAGATCTCCTCTCTTGCCAGGTACACCCCTCTCTCACTCTTTCTCTCATGACACACACAGTCAAACCCACACACACCAGCACACACACACACACACACACACACACAACCTTCATTTTGGTTTGAAATTTTGGGTTTTTTCAACATATCGCGCACACACACCACTTCTCTCCGCCTTGCATTTATGGTAAAGTTCAACACCAATCTGATTATGTACTGATTGTTTCAATAATAAACTGATTATTATTGCATTATTGGGTTCTTAATTGGTAGTTTTCGATTTAAGCAGGGCCTTTTTTTGCTTTGCACGCAGAGAAGAAATCTCGGTTCATGAAATGGCTAAGTAAGATTTTCAAGGGTGGGTCGAGTAGGGGGATAACAACAGGTGGACAACAAATTTGAATTAAATTTTGGCGTGCTCCAACTCGATCATTGGTAATTTCTATATTGGTCTCTCTCTCTCTCTCTCAAAGATTGATATTCTCGCAATGGGAAGTCTCAGTTTGAATGTTGCTATAATTTTGAACTCAATGTTTCATCATTAAATAGAAAGGAAAGATAAAAACTTGACTTGGCATTACTAGAATTTTGAAAAATTACATGAAACTCCAACAACAGCACACACACCACACACATATCGCGCACACACCATACAACACACCAACAAACACATCGCGCGCGCACACACACACACATAAATTGATTTGATGATTTTGGTTTTAATTTGAGTGTTTTTTTTTTCAAATAAATTTAACAAATTTAATGTTAAATTGTTTTGAATGTTATAGTTTGGGTTTTTCGAATGTTCAATTGGTTTGAATGTTATAGTTTTAGTGTTAATTGTGTTCATTTGGGTGTTTGCTTGAGTGTTTTTTTTTTTCAAATAAATTTAACAAATTGAATGTTAAATTGTTTTGAATTTTCAATTTGTTTGAATGTTATAGTTTGGGTTTTTCGAATGTTCAATTGGTTCGAATGTTATAGTTTTGGTGTTAATTTGGGTGTTTTTAATGTTATATTTTTTCAAATAAGTTTGATAAATTTTGAAGTGGCAATAGCTTATAAAAGATGTCTCATAAAGATCTATGCATAACCTTTTCTTTGGTCACCCCTAATAAGAATTGAAACTTAGAGCACATATCTAATATAAATTCTCATA